TGTTCAATATATTTACTTGTTAAAAAGATATTTCGCGAGTTTCCACTCCATTTCCCATTCGCCATCACAGGATGAATCGTCGTGTCTTTTTTCCAGCTTCAGGATATTTCTTGTTGTTATTGTCGTTGTTCGCACACACATGGTATCATTGGTCACAAAAGCGGTCATTCAGCTTGCACTATTTGAGGGGCTTACTGTAATATCAGTTATATCGTATTGTATTTCTATTTTGTTTTTATGTGATGTAAGTGTTCTGTGTTTTTCTGTGTCTCGATAAAGCAACAGATTGCTCCAAGATTTAGGCTGGACATATCTGCATGCTGGGATGAATGACTGTCACGTTTGTCAAAAAGAACTACCTCCAACCAAGGTCACAGTGGTCAAATGTGTTAAAACATCTTTAAACGACTTCCTTATTATAAAGAGGCATAGGGTGATGATGTCTAGTCATATATGTTTAATGTTCATTAACCTCTGAATAATAACAGATGTCGAACCCAAATTAATAATAGTTTGCGATGCAGGTTAATGGTGTTAATTGATATGTTGTATTAGAAGTGAATAAATGGCTCTACCAACCAATTTAGTTCAGATCAAAGTTCAAATCTGCCAACAAAGATTCCCACAGATACATAAAGTGTAGAGTAATAAGATCTTAAAAGAAAGACAAAAAACAATGGCAACAACAAACAAAAAACAAAAAAAAGCAAAAAGGGATAGCCTGTTTTAACAGGTAAAAGTGTATCTGATAGCTGTTTTTCGCGCATTGATAGATTACATGTATTTGGAAGTGATGTGGCGCTGAACGGACTTAATTGTTTCCTCGGAAACGCTTATGTTTTGAATATTATTTTATTTTCAGAAGAATATAAACTCGGATATTTTTAATTCAGTAGGTGATAACGATTTCAAGGACATTTCGTTTGAAACGGAATCCATGTCTTATCGGGGCTCGGTTTCGTGATTTTGAGTAGGCCAAAGGATGACGTCACTGAAGAACCACAACATTTAAAAAGGTATTTATACACATTCTAAAACCTTGTCGATACTCTCGAATTTTACAAGGTTGTATGAATGCTGAATTTTAACTCAAAGTGAATCGAGTCGCTAGAATTACTATTTGGTATTTTTTTATTCTCTTTGTATGATTGTTTATTAGCTTAAGCATTATAGTATTGAAAAACAAATAAGTTTCAACGAGTACTTCACCATTTTCACAACAGTGAAACGGTTTACCATCTGACATGACGGTATCGACGATTGCGATGCAATTACGTCATATAACTACTCGACATTCATAAACGAAATAAAAGAGTTCGTAATTTAAGTGATTTTTGGTTATAATTCCCATTTGAAAGGATATTGGAATTAAAGGGATTGAATATGGATTGATTTATCCATTGTTCATGCAAATACTAACGGGGGGAAATTTACTTGCACACCAAATGAGCGGCCTATATGATTAAGTCCCCCAAACGAAGTGGGGGACTTATTGGTTTTACTCATGATAAGAGGGTTTGCAAATGACCGTTCATTTTCCGATCGGTCAACCAAGATGGCCGCCACGACATCTGATTGGTCGAAATTAAATATTGGTTGTTAATTTTTTTAATTTGGTATGTAGGTGTATTTTTAAATCTTTGCGACTATCGGGTCAGTTTGGGGGACTTCTGTTATGGTCCCCATTTCAATTAGTTCTTGTTTCTATTGTTTTAACATGAACTTCTCGGTCCCTGCATACAGTTTACTTTGACTGTTTTCATGTTTTACAGATTTCATTGTATTGGATCTCTGTCTCGCTGCTGCTATTTTTACTATCGGTAAGATCCGAATGTGATATCTTTCGCTTAGAGGTATTCATTCTACCGAACTAGCTATCGAGAAAGTTAAGAAGCGAAACACGATACACTTATGTATTTAGTGTATAACTCATTATTTAATTATGAATATTTATAATACACAATTCGACAAAAATATACAGATTTTATGCTGTATATTTATATTGATTAACTTTGTACTTTAGTTTTAAGTCCTTATCGACGGTCTCCATACAATCTATGATGGTGCGATAACGTTCAAAAGCAAAACCAGGTCATATTATACAAATACCGTTCTCCGTTTAGGGTCGAGTGTTTCTAACTCCACCGGAGCTGAGACCGGTATGAAAATTGACAAAAGTTATACGTAGTCAATGGACACTTTGGTTTGAGTGGGACTACCATATTTTATCTTCAAATCCCTCTGTTTTATCAGTCGGTCACTCGGATGTCCGAGATATGGACGTGTGAAATGGATAATCGCTCAGAGTACCTAGTCAAGACATGTTGAAACAATTACTACAGAGGTAAGATCATTAAACATACAGTTATTACTTAATATTACTTGTTATAGTACACTATACATTGACAAACAATATTACTGTACATGTCACAGTGAATGGGAGCGTTCATTTCGTGTGTATAACTAGACGTCGTCTTTGTGGTAATGTGTGCCATGTTTAAATACACTGGTGTTTCATTATAATTTCTTGTTTGCATATTTTTCAGTGCTAATTAAATTGTTTAAAACGACCAATTATTATTTTGCAGGTAGATACAAAAATATTCGAAAGCGCTCAAATCGTTTAATTATTTGTAAATTCTCCTGTATATATATTTAAATTGATATTTTATGTTTCCCTGCCATTATTGGAAAGATGATACCATTAGTTTAAGTCAGGTAAAACAAACTTTGTAAAGGATTAAAGGGTTGAGAAATTATCTATTACGAAACATTACCAACATTAATAGGGAATGGAGTTCATTTACATATTGATTGTACTTTATAGAACCGATCATATTCACGATAGTTTGATCTGGACTCACAATCTTAACTAACAGTGTGACAATAAGGCATTCATTGTAAGTCAATTCTTTGAGAAATGTATTGATCAGGAACACAAAGAGAATATTCTTTATTTAGTTAATTGTGGAATTCTATATTCAAACTTCATTGCTAGCTTAAAACGCTATTGACACAGTGTGCTTTTTAATAATAGTAAACACATCTAACATTTTGGAGATGTCTGTTGACTGTACGGTACACGATACAAGAATTTTTATCTAACGTTGCATATTCAAAACAATAAACATTAGCACTGTAGTGCTATTCTTGTGACAAACAATTGATCAAATAAGAAATGAATAAACAGCATGAATTTCAAAACTCATTAAGAAATAGCAAGCACATATCTCAGGGTATTTTAACAAGTAAAAACATCAAGGTAAAAATGCAAAACACAGATATCATAGACGGGTAGCATTTGAAGTTAAATATATAAACTGGAAGTTAATTAATGAATACTAGTATGTTACACAAGTATAACTAAATTAGGGTTAAAGCACAATGACACTGTAATGTACATTGTATGAAGCAAGCTGACGCAACTTGTTGAAGACGTCTGTAATAAGTTTGGTCGTTGTAGTAAACACTGTTAAACATATGGTGACCGTACATTAATTATAGTAACCACATCACATCTAACATTTTGAAGACGTCTGGTGATCGTTTACCAGTAGTAATTGTAGTAAACATATTTTATATTGGAGACGTCTGAAGATCGTTTACTAGCAGTAATTGTAGTAAACATATTTCATATTGGAGACGTCTGGTGATCTTTTACTAGTAGTAATTGTAGTAAACATATTTTATATTGGAGACGTCTGGTGATCGTTTACTAGTAGTAATTGTAGTAAACATATTCTATATTGGAGACGTCTGGTGATCGTTTACAAGCAGTAATTGTAGTTAACATATTTTATATTGGAGACGTCTGGTGATCGTTTACTAGTAGTAATTGTAGTAAACATATTTTATATTGGAGACGTCTGGTGAGCCTTTACTAGCAGTAATTGTAGTAAACATATTTTATATTGGAGACGTCTGGTGACCGTATAGTAATTATGGTAAATCTATCTCACTTGTTTGAGACGTCTGATGACTGTTACTAGAAGTAATTGTAGTAAACATATTTTGTATATTGGAGACGTCTGGTGATGGTATAATAATTATGGTAAATCCATCTCACTTGTTGAGACGACTGATGACTGTTACTTGTAGTAATTGTAGTAAACATATTTTATATTGGAGACGTCTGTTGACCGTATAGTAATTATGGTAAATCTATCTCATTTGTTGAGAAGACTGATGACTGTTACTTGTAGTAATTGTAGTAAACATATTTTATATTGAAGACGTCTGGTGACCGTATAGTAATTATGGTAAATCTATCTCACTTGTTTGAGACGTCTGATGACTGTTACTAGTAGTAATTATAGTAAACATATTTTGTATATTGGAGACGTCTGGTGACCGTATGGTAACTATAGTAAATCTATATCACTTGTTGAGACGTCTGATGGCTGTTACTAGTAGTAATTGTAGTAAACATATTTTGTATATTGGAGACGTCTGGTGACTGTTACTAGCAGTAATTGTAGTAAACATATTTTGTATATTGGAGACGTCCGGTGACCGTATAGTAATTATGGTAAATCTATCTCACTTGTTTGAGACGTCTGCTGACTGTTACTAGTAGTAATTATAGTAAAAATATTTTGTATATTGGAGACGTCTCGTGATGGTATGGTAACTATAGTAAATCTATCTCACTTGTTGAGACGTCTGATGACTGTTACTAGTAGTAATTATAGTAAACATATTTTGTATATTGGAGACGTCTGGTGATGGTATGGTAACTATAGTAAATCTATCTCACTTGTTGAGACGTCTGATGACTGTTACTAGTAGTAATTATAGTAAACATATTTTGTATATTGGAGACGTCTGGTGATGGTATGGTAATTATAGCAAATCTATCTCACTTATTGAGACGTCTGATGACTGTTACTAGTAGTAATTGTAGTAAACATATTTTGAATGTTGGAGACGTCTGGTGAACCTGTGGTTATCATGGTAAACTCATTTGGCTTGTTGAAGACGTTTGCTGACCGTATGCCAAGGTTTTACGGGTCGGAAGAATGTGGTTACCGGCGTCGATATTGCGGACACAAACGTCGTCAAACCTTTCCAGGACATTCCTGGACCATCGGGAATCTACCAGTTGCCTTTCCTTGGTCTCCGGTTACAGTTAAAACCATTCAGTATGTAATTAGGTATAATAGCTTCAGTAAACCCTATTTAATTGATTGAGTCGATGGTATGTAGGTATGGGGACAGGAAGATTCTACCCGAACCTGTAGAATTTAAATCAAACATTGTACTCTTCTTTATCATATCTTACGTGTATGTGAAAAACTGAAATCAAATCGACAAACATTGCAAATACAACAATAAGTACAATAAATAGAGATGTTCTCCCCTTGGATCAGGTAGAGCTTCGGGTATTATACCAACTTATGATCCACGAAGGGAGAATGTTTAAATATCTCTTTTTTACATGAAAGGGTCACGCATGGGTTTCAACATGGAAAACATGTATATATTTATATATGTATATATTTATTAGAGTAACAATATGAAAGTTGAAAAGGCTTGTTATGCCAAGGGACTCGGGAATGCTTATTTTATCAGTTATTTTATACCTTTTCGAATTTACCACTATTGACTGTTTTGTGTCAAGACAATTCATTTGTATGAAACCTTTCGAAAAACGACGAGAAATAATTGCATATAAATATTGAGAAATTAATATGATTTTTTCAGCTTTTATAATGCTATTGTTTCCGGTGATTCTAGAATGTATTGTTTGACATATCTCTGTATATTTTATATTTTAATTGAGCTACGTTTTGAAATAATTTCCAAAACTTTACATTCAGCCGAATTTAAGATCACCCGTCTGGATCAACTTATGATGCACTATAAAAATCGCTATGGACCCATCTGTAAAGTACGCATGGGCAAACGTTGGATGGTGTTCCTGTTTGATCCTACAGTCATTGAGACGGCCTTCCGAAACGAGGGGCGGTATCCCCAGCGACCGTCTATAATGTTATTGGAACACTTCTATCAAGGCCAGTCATGTCCGTCAATGTCAATACTGTAAGTATTAAGAATTCCTGATGTAGCGATTCACCGTCAATGTATTTGCATCGGCGTCCACTCGGAAAAAGAAATGGGATATTTAAAGTGGTTAAAGAAGAAATTATTACTGTGACAAAGAAAGAGGATACGATTGATTTCGTAATGTGTTTGATTAAAGACGCGAGTTACTGAAACATATGCTCCATTGGCACTTGAAATTGAAAAAGAAAATCCTTTTCAGCTTTATCAATTTCATATCAAATAGAAACGAATGTAGTATTCTGTGTTTCATACAACCAACATTTGTTGTGATTATTCATGAGAACCGACTTGAATTGAAATGCACTTACTTCCTGCTTTTATTTTTTGTGACACCCCAATACAATTGAAAACCCGTGACGCATTGCAGAGGTCCTAGTTGTGACGTTACAATTTAAACAATCATAATCTGTAACCAATCACACCTCCGATAGGTGTCATAATATGATAGTTTGGCTAATTCACTTATTGTTATGACCTTGGTCAGTGAATATTTGTTTCATTTTATCAAAAAATTAAACTCGTGCATATACGTAGCACAGGTCAATTAATGCCCCGTAAAACTGTGTGCATATACAGTAGGTACCTGTTGATGTAAAAATCACTTCTATTCAAATAAGGAACTGACACCATATATACATGTCATTTACTCTTAATAGGCAAGGGAAAAAATGGTTTGAAATGAGACGTCCATCTCAAATGACACTGAAGAAACCACAAAGCATTGCAAAGTTCATACCCCAGCTAAGCGAGGTTGCTGACGACTTTGTAGAGAAATTCAGAGATAATAATCTGATGGAAAATCTACCTCTGCCTTGTCTGGAGTATTCCACAGAAGGTACATGACGCTTAAAAAGAAACATTCTCGATCTGAAAAACCCCTGCAGAACTGTTTTTCAGCCTGCAGATCTGTCGCGTCTAAAATAGCAACACTTAACCAGTTAAACTGTCGTTGTTTGCCTGTGTTTTACGCTTTGTACTCATTTAAACTTTTTAAGTTTTACAATTTTTTATATCTACAAAATAACAGGTATTGAAAGTTTGTTTCGTTTTACCGATATCAGTACAATCCTGTCCCTGTAAATTCACGTTGTTTTAATTACGTCATAATAACTTATGTTTCTCAAATACTTTATACGGAATAATGTGGTTTTCTACCAGGGGCTGGTACCTTATGCTTTGGTCTGCGACTCGGCTGCATTACTAAAATTAGTGGGAGCAAAGAGGCCGCCATACTGGAACACGTGCGAGGATTCTTTGGAATTCTGGGAGAATCCATGTACTCTGTGCCCTGGTTCATGTTGTATGAAACACCCTCTTACAGGCGATTTGTGGAACACATCATGTTCATGAGAAGGTTTGTCGTCACTCCGGGGTATTCGCTGCTCTGACACTTCATCATGACAAAGAAATACAACCAATAAGATCATTTTGAGATGTCTTTGTGATTGTGTCATAGAAACTTCGAAACAATTTAATTTCTTTTGCTTTATGTGTTTTTTGCTCAGGCTAAGGGTTTCCATATGCTTACCTACTTATAATGTCAAACCATTAAGAAGTATACACCGCATTGGTGGCGCTGGCTGTACACTACTACTGTTCTCTACTAGGACATCTTTTACTTATCACGTGTTGTATTTTCAGATCAAATCGTGCTTATTTATACAAATAAACGGTTCCCCTGAGGAGTGGCATGGCTTCATATAGCATGTTTAGCAAAGTAAATAGAAAATTTGAGCAGTGGTAAAGCACAAAGTAAAATAATGGGTGGATATGCATGGAATAGAATAAGAGTTCAAACAGAAGACCACGAAAATTAGAATCTTTCAACAGCGATTGATAATAATACTTTTGTAGCGGTTCATGTGTGTATCTATTTACATTTCAGGATAGCTGATGAACACCTCCAAAGAGCGAGGCAAGAACTAAAAACCAGAATGACCGACGATGAAGAAGCAAACCTGATGTTGGACATGATGAATAATCCGGGCATGACTTCGGAAATGATCTCCAACAACTTAGTTGACCTCTTCATCGCAGGATTAGATTCGGTGGGTAGAAATCTATTAAAATACTACTGTTACTTTATGCTGATTTACAATAAACCAGTTTCATAAAAAATATATTTATTTTAACAGTTTCTCATCTGCTTATGTATCGCAATAAATTGCATGTATGTTACTAAAATAAAAGTGAAATGATATCGACATATTACGGACTTCAAGGTCTTAAACATAATCCGGAACTTATTTAAATTAATATGATTAATGTTGATTAATATTTTGATATAAGTTATTGGTGTGGGTTGATTATAAAAGAATCTCCACTTTCCCGTAGACGGCAATGGCCCTGACCTTTCTGTTCTATCAACTGGCACGGAGTCCTGATAAACAAGAGAAGCTGTTTGACGAGATTCGGGATCACATACCTGTATCTGGTCATATACAGGAGGATGTACTGTTTCACCTGCCGTATCTTAAGGCTTGTCTGAAAGAGTCCTTAAGGTGAGTATGGCAGCGTGAAATACCCAACCATCCCAGTATACAAGGTAATCTACTCCAAATGGACTAAATCATTCGTTGTCATTTGTGCAAAAGATGAATGAAAATGTCACACCCACACAATGTTTTAGATGTACATATTAAACAAACGTATAACGCTACCTGCTTCCCGCAAGTGTCATCCTCCACTCCATAGCAACATTACCACTATTTGTCTTAAGTGGAATTTACGTAGAGTAAACATTCTATGAGAACAAAAGCCTTTTCGTTACATCAGTTAGTTTTCATTTGACGTCAAATACAATAGTGATTTCTCAAATACTTTGTACTTGAACAAAATCTTTTGTGTTTAAACTGAAGTCGATGACCAGTCGAATATATAAGTAGTTGGGTAGTTTGGTGACACAGTGGTAGTTGCACTCGCCCTTTATTAAAAAAAGGCCGGGGTTCGATTCCTGTCCGACCACGTGTTTTTTTGGCGGGTACTCCGGTTTCCTCCCACATTAAAGCCTCGTGCGTGCTTCCTTCAGTGCCAACACGACTGCTTTATTTAAAATGATAAAACTTGGTTCACAATTGTTGCAAACTAAATAGAACTTCTTGAGATTGTCCAATTATTAAAGAATAGTCCAAATAATTATGTTAATACTATTGTATTTTGCAAGTGAACCTGGTAACACATTTATTTTAGTTAATACAAAATTCAACATTGGATTGTTAGTATGGACGTTAACGCTGTGCTTACAGTGTGGCTGGGATTTGTCGTGCATCATATTAACGTGGGAAAGAAAAATACGGGGTAGGGGCAACAACAGATACATTCCTCATCACAATACACACTGACTATCTTCATAGCGTTCTAACTGAACAGGTCGAATTATTGAACATGTTAAGACAATATGACATAGGCATTCCTTGATATTTATCACTGTCGGTTCTCATGACATATTAGTGCTACACTAAATCATAGGCAATCCTTGATTTTATCACAATGGTTACTCATAACATATTAGTGCTACACTGAACTATAGTTAACCTTGAATATTGGTGATACACTTAACTATAGTTAACCTTGATTTTATCACAGGGGTTTCTCATTACATATAGTGATACACTAAACTATAGTTAACCTTGAATTTATCACAGTGGTTCCTCATTACATATAGTTATACACTAAACTATAGTTAACCTTGAATTTATCACAGTGGATTCTCATTAAATATTGGTGAAACACCTAATTATAGTTAACCTTGAATTTATCACAGTGGTTTCTCGTTAAATATTGGTGATACACTTAACTATAGTTAACCTTGAATTTATCACAGTGGTTTCTCATTTAATATTGGTGAAACACTTAACTATAGTTAACCTTGAATTTATCACAGTGGTTCCTCATTACATATAGTGATACACTAAACTATAGTTAACCTTGAATTTATCACAGTGGTTTCTCATTAAATATTGGTGAAACACCTAATTATAGTTAACCTTGAATTTATCACAGTGGTTCCTCATTACATATAGTGATACACTAAACTATAGTTAACCTTGAATTTATCACAGTGGATTCTCATTAAATATTGGTGAAACACCTAATTATAGTTAACCTTGAATTTATCACTGTGGTTCCTCATTACATATAGTGATACACTAAACTATAGTTATCCTTGAATTTATCACAGTGGTTCCTCATGTCATATAGTGATACACTAAACTATAGTTAACCTTGAATTTATCACAGTGGTTCCTCATCACATATAGTGATACACTAAACTATAGTTAACCTTGAATTTATCAAAGTGGTTTCTCATTAAATATTGGTGAAACACTTAACTATAGTTAACCTTGAATTTATCACAGTGGTTCCTCATGACATATAGTGATACACTAAACTATAGTTAACCTTGAATTTATCACAGTGGTTCCCCATTACATATAGTGATACAATAAACTATAGTTAACCTTGAATTTATCAAAGTGGTTTCTCATTAAATATTGGTGAAACACTTAACTATAGTTAACCTTAAATTTATCACAGTGGTTCCTCATTACATATAGTGATACACTCAACTATAGTTAACCTTGAATTTATCACAGTGGTTCCCCATTACATATAGTGATACAATAAACTATAGTTAACCTTGAATTTATCAAAGTGGTTTCTCATTAAATATTGGTGAAACACTTAACTATAGTTAACCTTGAATTTATCACAGTGGTTTCTCATTAAATATTAGTGAAACACTTAACTATAGTTAACCTTGATTTTATCACAGTGGTTTCTCATTTAATATTGGTGAAACACTTAACTATAGTTAACCTTGAATTTATCACAGTGGTTTCTCATTAAATATTGGTGAAACACTTAACTATAGTTAACCTTGAATTTATCACAGTGGTTCCTCATGTCATATAGTGATACACTAAACTATAGTTAACCTTGAATTTATCACAGTGGTTCCTCATGACATATAGTGATACACTAAACTATGGTTAACCTTGAATTTATCACAGTGGTTTCTCATTAAATATTGATGATACACTTAACTATAGTTAACCTTGAATTTACACAGTGGTTTCTCATTAAATATTGGTGATACACTGAACTATAGTTAACCTTGATTTTATCAGTGGTTTCATTTATCACAGTGGTTTCTCATTAAATATTGATGATACACTTAACTATAGTAACCTTGAATTTACACAGTGGTTTCTCATTAAATATTGATGATACACTTAACTATAGTTAACATTGAATTTACACAGTGGTTTCTCATTAAATATTGATGATACACTTAACTATAGTAACCTTGAATTTACACAGTGGTTTCTCATTAACTATTGGTGATACACTTAACTATAGTTAACCTTGATTTTTTCACAGTGGTTTCTCATTACATATTGATGATACCCTAAACTATAGTTAACCTTGAATTTAGCACAGTGGTTCCTCATTACATATAGTGATGCACTAAACTATAGTTAACCTTGAATTTAGCACAGTGGTTCCTCATTACATATAGTGATACACTAAACTTTAGTTAACCTTGAATTTATCACAGTGGATTCTCATTAAATATTAGTGAAACACTTAACTATAGTGAACCTTGATTTTATCACAGTTGTTTCTCATTACATATATTGATACACTAAACTATAGTTAACCTTTAATTTATCACAGTGGTTTCTCATTAAATATTGATGATACACTTAACTATAGTAACCTTGAATTTACACAGTGGTTTCTCATTAAATATTGATGATACACTTAACTATAGTTAACATTGAATTTACACAGTGGTTTCTCATTAAATATTGGTGAAACACTTAACTATAGTTAACCTGGAATTTATCACAGTGGTTCCTCATTACATATTGAGGATACACTAAATTATAGTTAACCTTGATTTTATCACAGTTGTTTCTCATTACATATATTGATACACTAAACTATAGTTAACCTTGATTTTATCACCGTGGTTTCTCATTACATATAGTGATACACTAAACTACAGTTAACCTTGAATTTATCACAGTGGTTTCTCATTACATAGTGGTGATACACTTAACTATAGTGAACCTTGATTGTATCACAGTGGTTTCTCATTACATAATGGTGATACACTTAACTATAGTGAACCTAGATTATATGACTGCGGATTCTCATTAGATATTAATGATACACTAAACTATACTTAACCTTGATGTTATCAGTGGTTTCTCATTACATATTGGTGATACACTTAACTATAGTTAACCTTGAATTTATCACAGTGGATTCTCATTAAATATTAGTGAAACACTTAACTATAGGGAACCTTGATTTTATCACAGTGGTTTCTTATTACATATAGTGATACACTAAACTTTAGTTAACCTTGAATTTATCACAGTGGATTCTCATTAAATATTAGTGAAACACTTAACTATAGTGATCCTTGATTTTATCACAGTGGTTTCTAATTACATATTGAGGATACACTAAACTCTAGTAAACCTTGATTTTATCACAGTGGTTTCTCATTACATATTGAGGATACACTAAACTATAGTAAACCTTGATTTTATCACAGTGGTTTCTCATTACATAATGGTGATACACTTAACTATAGTGAACCTTGATTATATGACTGCGGATTCTCATTAGATATTAATGATACACTAAACTATAGTTAACCTTGATTTTATCAGTGGTTTCTCATTACATATTGGTGATACACTTAACTATAGTGAACCTTGATTATATCACTGCGGTTTCTCATTATAGATTAGTGCTACACTTAACTATATAGTAAACCATGATTTTATCACTGTCGTTTCCCATTACAGATTAGTTTTCCCCGTGTCCATTGGAAGCACTCGGATACTGAACAAAGATATCCAGTTATTAGGATACAACATTCCTAAAGGAGTAGGTCGTTATAAAATGCACAAGACATATTTAAGTTGTTCAATTAAACTGTATATTGTTTTCAAATTCGATTGATATGATTAAAAGGATAAACCATCAATTTAAAAAACAACTAATAAATAATTAGAATCAATATTCACACACGAAACAGCTGTTTGCAGATGCAATAGTAACTTATATGTGTATCGATATTTCCAAGTTAACTCGAAGTTATTACATTTTCATGATATTATATACAAAGATACATTTGTGGTCAGCTGAGTAAATAATATTAAGCACTGAATTGGTTTACATGTGGCATTCATAATCAATATGCTGCAAAAATGACAAATTCTAGCTAGCTCTTCTTGTTAAATTTGTAATTTCCAGTTGGCATTTATATTCCTTATGGAGCGGAACTAAAAGTAGTTCAATAAATATTTACGTTTCTAGAAATACTTTTTCTTTTGAGAAATTAATGGAAGAACATTGACCAAGAGCATACAAAAGAGAGATTGCAGTTTGCTTTTTTATTGTTGGTCGTGATATATTAGAGGAAATTTAATATGTAGATTTATTTAATTTGCCAAAGTATTTCTTTGCATGAATATACATGGATAATTTGTTTAGAAAATAGGCACACGTTATATAGTCCCTAGTGTGAACTATGTCAGCTTTAGAAAACTTCTGGTGCTGGTTCAGAAACTGGCTACTCAACTGCACAAGATACTCTGTTATCACTATCGTTTGAAAAGTCAAGAAAATATCTGTATATTTCATGTCAATTCAGATTATCAGCAATACAAAATTTGTGATGAAAAACGATTGTTGAGTCGGTATGCATCTACAGCTTAAATGTTTTAACATTGCAATATTTTAATACGACAATATTATATTCAATGCAGCATAAACGTGTTCAATTTTCAGTGCATAGTTGCTGGAGGCAACAGTGTAATTGGGAAGGACCCGACATACTTTCACCATCCTAAGGAGTTCTTGCCTGAACGATGGCTTCGCACGGGACAAACACACATACACGGGTTTGCACAACTACCGTTTGGATTTGGTCCTCGGGACTGTATTGGCAAACGCTTCGCTGAAATGGAAGTCTATATATGTGTGGCAAAGGTAGGTATTTTTTCTATTCAAACAATCATGTGATATTTTTTTATTGTAAATTATAACCAAAAAATGAATAAAGTATATTTTTGAAGCTATATGTCTGAGGATTAATGAATCAGAATGTGCTACTACTATGGATTTAAGCCGGTAGCTTTAATATTTAATTTTCTAACATTAAATACACGACACGTTCCCGACTAAGGCAATAACTGGTCATATTGTGCCGGTTTGATGGAGTTTAAGACATGTTTTACGATGATTACCGAAACGTTTGTAACTGTATGTGTTGTTTACAAACATAATCGATGATAGCCATACTAATGTATATTGGAGAGTATGTTTGAAATAACCCGTGTTGAATACCCGAATATATGTTGCAATGCTTATATATATATATGTTCTTAATATCAAAAATTGCAACTTTATTAGTTTCAGTTGTGGTTAAGTGATTTCTATAGCACACTAATCCATATATAGGACCGCTGTGTTAGCGTTAATTATTGTCTGTGGTTATCATTTTAATCGTAAAATAATCGGGATTTCGCGTCAAAATTCTGTCTTGACAGGAAGATAGTATTGTACCCTGAACAATTTTCTTAAAGAACCCGAATTAGTTCCATTGTTAAACCCTATCTAGCGAGTTAATTTTCCTGGTATTGTTTTGATTTTTTGTTTGTTTTGTTAATATGTTTCCCTCGTTGTTGTTATTATGTATTTGAATGACGGTTTTAGGAAAGCGTTTACAAAAACGATAATGTAAACATTTTTATTGTTATAGATTGTGAGAAACTACAGGATCACCCTTCCGGAGGGACTCACCGACATACAATACATATATCAAACTTTTGCAACTCCTGAGAAACCTTTCTCTTTGCACCTTCAGCACCGTTCGACAGGATGAAAACTGACATTGTATTCTGTATGGCCGAATTTTACCAGTAATTGTGACTCAATGCATCCATGTCTTACTGGATAATATATTACACAATATTAGTTGGTATGAAAGCATTTCTATACCAGTGCTACAATATGAACTACTCGGTCTCTGTCCGACGTTTTACTTTGACTGTTTTCATGTTCTACATATATTATTGCATCAAAGGATCTCTGTCCCACTGAAGGCAAAATCCTAGATAATTTCACTGTTGTCTTGCACATCTGTTGTTACCTCCCCTTAATTCCCGGGGTTCGAATTCCTGTCTGATCTCCTAGCAATTTACTCTCAGAACACTTGTTGATAATATTTGTTTCTGTATTTTATCTATATTTAAAATGCTCCGCAAGGTGTTAATTTAAGGGTTTCCCACGCCGGTAAAAGTTTCAAATGAATAGCTACAGTTTTGGACAGCTGTTCTGGGATCTCTAATGCATGGAAGAGGAAGTCAACGTAATATTTGAATGACATTGTTGCTATCGCTAAAAACCGAATGTTGTATCTTTCGCTTAGAGACATTCGTTCTATCGAACTAGCGATCAAGCTGTGCAGAAAAAGAAATCAATACATTTGTCATATGATTCACATAAATACATAACTTAATATTAAGTAACATACAAATGTATTATATATATATATATATATTACATTTTTTATATAAATTGTTCACAAGACTGCTCAGACAAGTACCTAATTCTGATTCCGTACCTATATAAGGTGTCAAGAGTGTCCCTCTGCAGACTAGTTGACTGCAATTTACCTTACTCAGGTATTCTGTTCACCCCATGCTAACTTAACTTAACGCTAATGATAAACTACCGTTCTTGTATTTGTAAATAAGATATTCCATTGCCAATGTGTACATTTATTCGGACCCACAATGAGCATATTGCAAATTTTAAATTCATTTGTTTTGCGCATCGTTTTTAACGTGCCGCACCTCTGTATCAATTGTTAAATGCATTTATCATGATAAGCCAGTTATAACGGACCATATTATTATAAGTATTACTCAAATATCTCGCTATGGGAGAAAATCAGCTTAATGAAATTAGCCCATGGTGGAATCAACTTTACATTTTTGTATTTTGCTTGGTCAGTTAACGTTACCTAACAGGGTGTCAGGTTTTAAATATTACTGCGTTACATAATATAGCAGTTAATAATTGTTTGTACGTTTCATTCCCTAATAGTTATAGGTTTCGGACAGGCGTGAGACTTGAGAGTAATGAATATTCATTACTAATTATACAGGTGAAAGTGGGAATGCATAGTGATTGAATTAGTCGATGAAAGGTAAGGTGCACAAGATTTACGTATGGCAAGGCGGATGCTTACGTAGTTTGTTCGAATAGGGCGGTGAGTTATTCTAGCCCGAGACGCCAAAGAATACGGTTGATTTAAAATTTTAAAGTATTAAAAAAACCAAAAACTTTTGTTTAGTGAAACATATGCTAATATCAGTATTGAAGTTGTTTCCATAGATGATCTAGGACATCATAAGGTTTTCCAGAGCTTTTGTGACTTATTAAGTTTTATCTCTAGTGTTTAATCCTGGATGTTGGGGGAGGTGGTTCCCTGTAATGTCATGCATGTATCATTGTCCAGATGACATGGAGGAGTAAGAATTGGAAATGATTTGTACACAATTGTCACAAGTGTTTAAAAGATATGCATATTGAATAAACGGCTGTTATATCGTCTAGGGACAAGCTACCGGCATACATGTGTTGTTTACATTGATTTGGAGGGGTATTATCATGGGTGAATAGGACAGACGTATTATATCAGGCCGATTCGAACCGGACGAATTATCATTTTACGACTGTGTTGCGACTGTGTTGCATTCGTATTGTTGTCAAATATTGTTTTGTCCCATAACACGTGTTTAAGAATCAATGCCGAATAATACCAGGACATGGCCTAAGTAGTATCAAATACGTGTGAATGGTACCCGCTATGTTATGGGGGATTCCAACATTAGCCTTTAAGATCTATGCGATCTGACTCTTATAACCTGTATACTGTGAATATCTGCCATTCTATCATATCTATCATATCGTTATGAATTTAAACTGGCCACAAACAAAATTGTTTTGATTGTTGACATAACCCGTTTCGAACCCCTTTTTGTTGATCTACTTTCGGTTTACAGTATCAGTAGTGTTTATAATGTTTATGTCTAATATATTTGATATTTACAAATGAGATAAGATCTGTTATCTATTGTATTCACTATTCGTTGCTATTTAAATGATTTTTAAAAAGCAGTTACTTTCATGTCCAACCTCAAAGTTTTTCTCGTCATTATAAACATTCATAATTTCCTCTCGAGGCCTCTTTCTTATAAAAAATTTATTAGAACTGATTTGAAGAATATACAACACTTCTTATCAGACCGCCCAGGTAGCCTCGGTTTTAGTTAAGGGCATCTGTGCTGTTTTGTACTGTTGGATTGGGGAGAAAATGTAAAATTAAGGTAAGAATATTTCATTTCACCTCTGAATTTTTGTTTTGATTTTCCCTCCATCAACTAATGTATCGCGGATACAAGTCTAAAATGTTATCACTCAAGTAAACATGCCATTTGAAATCGATTATGAGTATATGATTGAACAAGGAAGTTAAAACATTGATATATTTTTTGATCAACTCGTTGACTTGGACAAGTCTGCATTCATTCTTCTCAATGGTATGCACTGAGATGTTTTATTTATTTAATGTACCATGCATTCATAGCAACAGCTAATGTATTATGTTCATACTACATAGTTCTGATTTTCAATTTGGGTCTAGGAATATGAATTATGAGGGGGTTGGAATTGAGGGTGACGATATTATCATGTTTTAGGGGGCTTGTTGAACCCTAATTCATTGTTAAAATAAAATAATTGTCCCTATCAACCGTCTTGAGAAAGGCTAAGTGTGACATTCTCTATGACAAAATATTAATTAAATTAACTTTTTCTCAGAGAGCGTCGCAAAAGTATTAAAGATGTCTTTATATGTAAGAGAGATATCCAATATAATAAGGATAATATAAGTCACCCCTATTGTTTACAATTAACATAAATATTAAATGTTTTGTCTTGCCTTTTTCCTTGGCATCAAAATGTCTCATCCTGTTTTTACAATACAATACATTGTTTATAAATTTATGTTATTGTAGTAAACAAGCGTATCTAGTAGGAATGTCGATGTTGTTTCACTAGACCAAAGGTGATCCTATTAAGGAGGCTCCAACCTTTCGCAATTAACCAGCAGAATTCAATAAAAGTTTGACATAATGGTAATGCAACAATGTAGGGATGATTTTTAGAAAATCTTTTAATCTAATTTTGTAAGATAAAACCCGAAAAATTGAATTTTGTCAGTTTTAACGGTTTATATTTTTTGGGTATGTGGCATTGTGCAAAACTATCACAAAAATAAAAAATAAACTTCTTGTCTGCCGAAAAAAATGAATCTAAAATGTTTTTTCTCCTATGTATTTTTAGGAAGGACAGTTTTTTTTATTTCAAACCTATCAGTTTGAAGTTGTCAGCAGGACAATCAAAAGAGAGTTTTTGTTATTAATTGACAGGTATATCTTTCTATCCTGACATGGCAACAAATAACTATTTGTTCTCGGCAGCCATTGATTTTGGAACAACGTATTCTGGGTATGCGTTTTCCACAAGAAATGATTTCCAAACGTCTCCATTAAACGCATCCTGCATGACATGGACGGCGGGATCAGGGCGCCTCCAGTCCCTGAAGACGTCCTCCTGCGTACTATTCAATCCAGATGGGGAGTTTGATTCTTTTGGATTTGAAGCAGAGGACAAATACTCTGATCTCGCATTAGAGGACGACCACAAAGCATGGTATTTCTTCAGAAGATTCAAAATGACACTTTACGAACAAGGAGTAAGTATATATTAACTGTTTTGACGAAATGTGTGTTGAAATTGGTACGTGTGTGTTCATCTAATTCCATTGTTGAGTTAAGCGTTGTTTGTATTTTAGTGGCTTGCATCAAATATACAATATTTAAATGGTTATTTACTAAAGTGAGTATATGTGACGTAACATGTACCTGGAATTTTGTTGAGGTGGTTGACCTAGTGTGAAGTGAAAGGCAATGCTTGGCCCGAAACTGAACTGATGGAAGGTATGATCTTATGAACTTGACGCCTATAATGAGATATTCCGATTTTCTGAAAAACTCTATTTAGTCTAAGCTGGTATCTCACATTTGTTAAATCATTTAAAAAAGGATCAACCATATCATTAAGGTACTTTGGTGATATATTGTGCAATATTTTATACATTACAATTAATTTATTTTTTCCCTCCTATCTGCTAAGGTTTCCCATCCCAATTCTTTGTACAATTTATGGTGTGATGTACCTCTACGAAGCCCTGTCACTACTCTAGCAGCATCTAGTTGGACTGATTCTAAAAATAATTTTGATTATCCCAAACTACATTAGCATATTCTAAAATTGGTCTAATATAAGATATATACATAGTGTTAAGTGTACTTCTATCAAGTGAGGTTTTAAGACTTCTTAATATATTAATTCTTTTATATGCTGTATCATAAATATTTTGGATATGTTGACCCCATTTACCATCTTCATTAAAAGTAAGACCTAAATGTTTATGGTTAGTACTGTCGGTTAGTGGTTGATTAGAGAAGAAGATTGGAGAGTGATTAGTTTCTTTTTTCCGTGTGAAGATCATAGTTTTAGTTTTGGATGCATTAAATTTTATATCCCAAGATTTAGCCCAAAAACATATATTCTGCAAGTCATTAGTGAGATTTTGTGCTGCTTCAATGGGATTATCACCAACAATAATATAGAGGGAGGTATCATCTGCAAAAAGTTTAATGTTACTAGTAACTATATTAGTGATGTCATTTATATAGAAAAGGAAGAGAAATGGACCAAGGTCAGATCCCTTAGGCACTCCTGCACTAATACATTTAAAAGTTGACTAATGTCCTTCTATAAAAACCCTTTGTTTTCTCTCAGACAAGTAGTTCTTAAACCATGCCAGTAATTTTCCTTTAATTCCATAAGTTTCTAATTTGTATATTAGACCGTCATGCCAAACCCTATCAAAAGCTTTACTAACATCACAGCAGACAAATCTAGCCTCTTTACCTTTATCTAAATTATTAATAATAGTGTGATATATAGATAATAATTGAGTCACAGTTGAGTCACCAGGCAGGAAGCCTGCCTGGTACTCAGAAATAGATTCAGCCGCTAAAAGGTAGTTATACAGGTACCTAAAGAAGATTTTTTCAATAATTTTACTAAAGCAAGATGTAATTGAGATTGGCCTATAATTACTGGCATCATTTTGGGACCCATTACCCTTATATATAGCATTAACATTAGCAAGTTTCCAGGATGCAGGGATATGTCCAAGTTCCATCGATTTGTTAAATAGTAATGTTAGTGGATATGATAATGAGGGTGTTAGTTTTTTTAATTATTTTGGGTATAATTCCATCAGGCCCTGCTGGTTTATTATCATTTAGTAGTTCAAGTTGGTCGATAACGTCTTGTTCAGATATGTCAATACTTTCTAATTGGAAAGAATAGTTATTTACAGTAGGTGGCAGTGGGTCTAGATTAGGAGAGGATGTTGATATTGAGGTAAAGTAATCGTTTAGTGTATTAGCTTTATCTATAGGATGTATGAGAGATATACCGTTATGATCAAGAGGAGGAATGTTAGTTGAATTTATATAAAATTAGATATAGACTTAGCTATTTTCCACCATTTAGATGGGGGTAAGGATTTATCACTCAGAGATCTCTGTAGTTTTTCAAGATAATCTTTTTTCGTTTTCCTTGTGATTTCAATAGCTTCGTTTCTAATATCTCTATATTTATTCCAGTGGTAATGACTATTTAGTTGATTTTGCTTTTCTATGGATCCTATTTTTTTGTCATAGTTTTAATCTGATTTCAGTATTTACCCATGGTTTATCATCTGGACGTATATTTTTTTTGAAGGAATATAGTTATTTATTTGTTGATTAATATTGTTGGTAAGTATATGGTTAAATTCTTCTGAGGCACTATTTTGCGCATGTGTCATCCAGTCAATATCTCTCAGTGATCTGTTCATTTGGTCACAATCTGCATTATCATACAGTAATATAGTCTTTTTATAACACCTATGTTTATAGACAGAGTAGGAGACTGTAATATGTATAGGAGAGTGATCACTACAGAATTGAGGGCTTGTACATGCATTTTGAATGATTCTAGTATTATTAGTAAAGACAATATCTATAGAGGTTGAACTATTAGGAGTGATTCGTGTCGGTTCATTTATTAGACTGTTCAGATTATATTAAGTAAGAATTCTGCTGAGATGTGAGTTAGGATGTAGATTTAACGTGTCAATATTTATGTCACCTGTTAAAATTATGTCTAGTGAGGTATCAACAGCTTTATGCAATAGAATATCAATCAAGTTGTGTCCAGTATTCTACATTGGATTCCGGTCTATATATACACCCTAATAAAAATCTGCGATTACCAGTATGCACTTCTATCCAAATAAGTTCGATATCATCATGCTCCAGGTCTAATCTTCTTTTAGTCTGACCAGTATTTTAATAATATATCAAGACACCACCCCCATCCTATTTTGTCTATCTTTTCTGTATGGTTCATTTGGAAATGAGTCTAGCATAATATCATTATCGGGAATATCTGGTGTAAGATGCATTTCTGTTAAGCAAATAATGTCATTTAGGTGCAGCTCAGAATCAACTATATCAAGTTTGTTCCTTACAGACCTAACATTGAGATGAGTGATTTCATAATGTCATTAGCAAGTAGAAGAATTTTTTGACTTACATATCGGATATAGTTATTATTATTAATTATGAGTATAATGTGACAATGTAGTAAGGGACACGGGTACTCTGGCTGTGTATATGCAATGCAAACATATCGGGATCTGATTATTATATACATGTATACTCCCCCTTCCTGCCCAGGAACCTCTGCTAGGTACTTACATTAAGTTAAGAGTGAGTTAATCATTTTAAAATTGTTAGGGTTCAGTCTGACTACTGGGGCACACCACTGATGCCCGCATGCACACACACACCAACATGTACATGTGTCATAACACATGAATTAACAGTATGGGAGTATGCACACGAGCATCCGTAATAAGCCCCCGCGGCCAGGCATACGGGCAGGTTCAACATGGACAAGTAATTAAAAAACTCAGTAAGTATCAAGATGACCTGGATGTATAGGCATACACGTCCTGTCCGCAGATATGACACGAGCCCCGTCCCACCCCACCACTCCATGCCAATAGCATGAAACAGATGGGCAGAACGCTGATTCGTCCCACAGCTATGGGTCAGACCACAGGGGCCCGCTTCAAATGACCGAGACACACATATTCCACACCAATACGGGACACAGCACAAATAAACATACAAGCTTATGTGTGTTGTGACCCACATCGGCATAGCACACATGCATACCAGACACCTGCAACGAGGCCCTGTGGACAGACGTAGACACCCTATATGTTTAGAACATAATGTTATCATAATGAAAAAAGAAAATGTCTAAAGTATGAGTATGACGACTTGCACATTAATATAAACAAAATGGTATTTACATACATAAATATACTACTAACAAATGGCATTTGATAGACAATTACCTTTCTATCACTGACACTGCACATGTCCATGTGGTTTCCCCCTGCCATGATCAGCGTAAGATTGGCATGTCTACAATCGTTTGGATTAAACATAAGATTGATTAAAATCATTAATATAATTAGTTGTACGAAGTACGGTTTGGTCATTGTTTAATGAATTGGACAATGATTTTCAAAGTTTGGTACATAGCAGAATCAAGTCAGTCATAAAGTCCTTTACTGGAACCTTGTACATGTAGAATTAATTAGTGTAGGTTCTTACACTGGATATCAGTAATAAAAATGAGGCATAAAAACAAAGTAAGTACTCGAGTAGTGCTAAACATACCTGTTCACTACCTGCATGCATATGTATAAGACGCCATTAAATAATGGCACCATATGAAGACTTGATCATAAATTACTTGTAATATAGTCACTATTAAATATAGTTACACTGACCATGGCAGGATATTATTATATTAATATATATATACATGTACCTACGTGCATTATATCTGCGTGCATTAAGATATATATATATAGAAAGTGTATATCCCTGCGTATACACGCAGATACACACACACATACACAAACAAACTTATATTAAGTATAGGTAATTTATTACGGTCATACATTTCTATAATAGTCATCGTTTACAAAGGGTAAATACTAGGCTTATGTAGGGTTGAATCAACTGGCACTTAGTGTGTGATTATAAATAGAAGTAATAAATATAAATACAGCTGTCACAAGATGTTATAGCTTTACAATGCACATATCTATATGTTTACATGTACTTAAATTGTAGCCAGTATCTAGTTAGATATATTGCAATTGGTTACTGAAGTCAGTAATCCACATATATACAATATCATTTATTACATTTTATACATATATATATACATGTTAATATACCTGTCGTAGATAAAGTTTTCTAAGCATTTCATTATGTAGTTGGAATAAAATATCAATGTAGTTTTAGATGAAACTTATATAATTACTTGATATATATGCTAAATATACTTGTATATAAAGTTAGATATGTACATGTATAAATATAGCTGTAAATGCTAGACACATGGTGTTAAAGTGTTACAACATGTACTTAAATTATAGCTAGTATCTAGTTAAATATATTACACTTGGTCACTGGATGCAGTAATCCGCATATATACAATATAATTTATACATATTTACATATAGATATATATATATATATAGGGTTCAAGTGTATATATGTATAAGTTACAGTATGTTCAGTACAGGTCACATTATCAGTCACTTGAGTCGGTTTGAAGTGGCCCATAAGCTTTACTGATAACGATGTTCATCAACCTGTTTACCAAAATAGATTGTATACACAATGAGGTTAGTGGTAATATTATTGATTTTTGCAGAACATGAGGTTAGTGGTAATATTATTGTTTTTTGCAGAACACATGGAATATAGTGTTGCAATAAAACTTTACCGACCGGCAGTTTCGCACTAGATGCAACATGTCTACTCACGATAAAAACCCTGCCATGCCTGAAATTTCTATACATGAAAAGGGCGTCTTAAAACTGCTCCAAGGCCTAAATCCATACAAGGCATCGGGCCCTGATGACATCAAACCCAGAGTACTAAAAGAGCTTGCAACAGAAATAGCCCCGTTATTAACCCTAATATTTAATCAGTCTCTGGAAACAGGTATAGTGCCTTCAGACTGGAAATCTGCAAATGTATCACCTGCTTATAAAAAGGGTCCAAAATTACACCCAGAAAACTACAGGCCCATATCTCTGACCTGTATCTGTAGCAAAATTATGGAACACATTGTTGTCTCAACTATCATGACCCATGCCGATACCCATAACATATTGTATCCGTTCCAACATGATTTTCGCAAATCGCGATCATGCGAAACCCAACTTCTTGAATTTGTGGATGACATCTCAAAGAATCTTGATGAGGGACGCCAAACAGATATCCTCATAATGGACTTTGCTAAGGCTTTCGACAAGGTCAGTCATTCTCTCCTAAACCATAAACTAAAACATTATGGTATACGTGGAAATGTCGCAAACTGGATCGAGAGTTTCCTGACCGGTAGAACTCAGACAGTAGTAGTTGAAGGGGAGAAGTCTGATTTTGTCGATGTCCATTCCGGGGTACCCCAGGGGTCAGTTTTGGGACCCAGTTTATTTCTTTACTTTATAAACGATATCCCTGTGGGTCTAAATGCTACAATCCGTTTATTTGCAGACGACACTATTGCATATCTAGTTATCAAGTCAAACAGTGATGCTGAAACACTTCAAAAAGATCTTGACAAACTAGCGCTCTGGGAAAATACATGGAAAATGATCTTCCACCCAAACAAATGCAATGTGTTGTCGGTGACTAAAAACAAAACTCCAATAGTCCATAATTATACTTTACAT